GTGTGTGTGTGTGTGTGTGTGTGTGTGTGAAGGAAAAACTAACTGTGGAAGTCCTACAGATGTTTCATGTAAAGCCAGATGCATAGTAATATGTTTTATTCCATTAAGAGCTAAGGGGCTCAAATAAAGGAGATTAGATTTAAAAGTATTTGCTTCATAAAATTGTAAAAAACCCTACCCCGCTTGTTTAGTTCTCTTATTAGTATTTTTTAAAAACAATTTATTGAAAGAGATTTTAAAAGGAAAATAAAAACCATCCCATTGGGCTGTCACTGAGGTCAAACATATCTCTGCAGCTCAAATGAGTGTTGAGATTAAACTAATCGCCAGTTTTGTTATAAGAAAAACTGTAGAGGCAAACTCTCCAGATGGGTAAAGAACAGTTTACAAATACCAGTTACTTTTATTTAACTAACAACAAACAGAAACTACCAGATAAGCAACAAAAACATGTCAGAATTAATCAGAGCATCCTGAAGCTGAAACTTTTTTTGTATTAGTTGGGGTATGAAAGTGTGCTAAGACAAATAAACTAATCTAAGAATAACAGCTGAGGTCAGGGATTTAATATTCTACATCATCAAAAAATCCTGGGAACTCTCTGGGACAAGACTGAAAACAGATTTTAAATGGCAACAATCCTCGGGCCTCTCAGTTTAAATGACTCTGTTTGTGGAAATCACTGAAAACCTGGGCCTGTCATTGGAGTTTGTCCTCACCAGCACACTGTCAGAAGCTTTAAACTCCACCCTGCAAATAAACAAAAAAAAAAAAATAGCATCCTGGATTCTGCTGCAAAAGACAAACTGAAACTGTTCAGTGTTCCTAGGAATCATGATTGATTAAAAGAATTTCATTTGGAGAAATATGATGGATTTTCTATAACATTCATCATGTTATAGAAAAACATTGGGTTACATCCTTGATTAAAACTGACACCGAGATGTCTTTTCTCAGTTGCAGGCCTCTAATTTCAGCAAAATGACTTAATCATTTTGACTTTTTTTTATAAACACCAATACTCAAAGTCAATATTTTACATCTGGAAATGCTCATGCCTACTTCCTGTATTGAAATACAAATAGTCTAAACAGTGTTCAAATGTGTGTTTCAGATTTGATCTGCAGTTATTCTGACATCCAGCAACATTTCAAGTTGTGGACAATTTCCTATCACAATGTAAAATACCAATAAAATGAATATAAATATATGTAAAAAAAATGTCAACAAAAATGCAGGTGTAAAAAAAAAAAACAAAAGATGAGAGCTGAACTGAGCACCAGTAGCTATGAAAGTATGAGCATGTGGCACCCAATTTTATATCTGTTTATAAAAAGTTTGATTCTGAACATGTTTCAAGCATTAGCAGGCTGGTAAAACTGTAAACAGAACTGGCCTGCATAGTTAACAGTTCTTACTACCTGTGTCACCTAATTAAATCATTTGTTCTTGTGTAAAATTAAACTTATCAAACATTTTTTTCTTTTTTTATCCTAATTCAAATATTTATATTTTTGTGCCATATCTTTTTTTCAAGGCATTTCAAATTGTGTTTCAAATGCAAGTCTTCCCCTTGGTAACTCTTTACAATAACTACACCTTATTTAGCCATTAGTTAATGGTTAGTTAGCCTTGAAAACATCATTAATTACGGATAATTAATCCTTAAAAAGCCAAAATTAACACAGCCATTATTGTTTTGCCCCTAAAAGTTAATTACTCCCCAAACCAACATACTCAGTGTTTATTTATGTTTAATAACTCAAGAATTACTTACTGTGCTGATATAAATGTACTTTCACACCATGTGTTAGACATGTAGCCTATTAAACTATTGAGGTATCCTGTTGTAATGTCAAAAAAAAAAACATACCCATAGTATTGCTTTGACTCATTCATGCATGTTTGTGAAATCCTGTAATGTCCTGTGGTAGTTTTTCAGGAGAACAAAAACAGCTGGCACTAGAACCACCTTTTAGGTGCAGCTCCTCCTCTGGGCTGTGTCTCCAAGCCAAGCTTGCTCATCACAGAGCATGCCTACCCCGTGACTTCTTCAGGCTTTCTGTAGCAAAAACTAGCAAACAACAGGTGAAACAGCGCATCTGCTGAGCTACTACTTCTCAGTTCAGTCTGTTCCTGATTTTAAAAAATGTCTTTGAGAAGATGTATTTTCAGATGCCGAGGAGACTACCTCCTTTTTAAGCTTCACAAGGATGACACGGTTCTTAAAAAAATAGTTGGACTTCATTTTTATAAGTAACCCTCAAGAAAACAAACAAAAAAAGTTATATTTGTGCGAGCCACTTTACAGACGATAGCTTTCTGAACAAAACGGAACTGAACAGTTGAGCAATAACAAGATTATCACTAAAAGATGATGGGATTTCAACACTCAGAAGGACACAAACACAGCTGTCATCTGCCCAGGTAAGCTGAAAAACAACTCATGTTGTTTTGTTTGGTCCAACTTTGATCGAAGGTTAGCATTCGTAACTTATATTACAATCTGTGTTTTAGTTGGCTTACACCACATTTTAATAATTAATAAATTAGCTTAACACGTGTGTGTGTGTGTGTGTGTGTGTGTGTGTGTGTGTGTGTGTGTGTGTGTGTGTGTGTGTGTGTG